CTATAACTACTGACGTAGTTGCATGCAAGCCTCAACACTTGAAAATATATCACTGAGTAGTCTATTTAGATGAGAATATTACCTAATGTACACTTAACTCATCTCAGTATCCTCTATATATTGACGTCATTCAATCATGTGATTGCACATAGTGGTTTATTTTCATCTACCTTTTTGTATATTCACTGTTCTTAAAGAACATTTATTAAGAAAGAATTCAGATATTGAAAAAGTATACTAAATGTCATAAAATAAATATCTGGTAAGTACTTCATACATCCTTACTAAGTTTGAATAAAAATATTCCAAAACAAATTCATAATGTCCAATTATTTACTAAATTACGTTTGTTACTTATGTACTACGGTTCGTTGAGTTTACACTGAGAGTTTAGTTAATTTTTTTTCCGATTTCAATCATTAAGCGTAGACCAAACTCATTTGTTTAATGGGGTTACTTGAGAAAATAAGCACATAACCAATCAAATAAGCCTAATTAAAGGGGGCAGACAAAGCAAAGATGAAAACAAAATAGGATTCCCTTAGACATTTTGATTAACAGGACAGTTAAATGTAATTAATAATCATCAGGGAATAATAAGAAAGGAATTAAAAATGAAATGAGAAATCTAAAAAAAAAGTGTATTTGTCATTCGATTATTCCATGCTGTTAATCTCAAAGACTTTAAATTCATAACTGCTTTGGAGTTCTTGTTATGTTTGATTAAAATAAATTTGCGCTACGGGGTTGTGAAGATTGACAAGTTACACATTTTTGAAACCATGAGGTTAGGCCTTCGCACACAATACCGAAGGTCCTAAGTTCGAATCCTGTGAGGTGCAGGAGTTGTGGATGCGCACTGCCACTGATGAGTCACATACCAGGACGAAACGGCCGTCTAGTGCTTCCAGGTTTCTAATGGTGGTCTAACATTGATCGATTCATGATTTCAAAAATGTGTAAAATAAATTTTCTAAATATTTGTTACTCGTATTGTTCTGAAGTTGGAAAATCCTAGCGGAGAACTTTAGAAAAGTAACCAAATGGCCCAATTTATCAATCAGTACAATTTACACATCAATAGTACACATTGCCGGATGCCAGAAGTTTTGATTGGTGAAATAATTAAGCACATCTTTTTACATTAAGCATACTTAAATAAACGGAAAACACTGAATGAGGCATCAATAAAAAAAGTCATTCGAAGAAATTGTTTCCTCTTGATAACTTTATTCTCCAAACTGTATACTAAGAAATATAACATTTTTTCACGAACAATTTATTACCTGTTCGGCAATAACAATAAAGTAATTCAGATCATTTTTCAGTTATCGATCACGTGATCTGTGGCTGCCATTCTTAATGACTAGGAAAAAAAATCAGTTAACGGCTCACTTTTTTAATGATACATCTATCTAAAAAGATTTGAATTCACACTTTCAAGTTATCGTAGTTCAGTAGGTTTACCTCAGAATTTACGTATAACTGCTGCACACCAATGAAGCTATTTATATCAATCTCATTATTTTGGTCATCACCATAACTTGTGGTGAGACACAAATGTACCAATATTCTCATTTTTCCCTTCACTGCTTATATCTGCCGACATTTTGACCTTATATAATTAATGCTAACATTCATTCGTTCATTATTTTATCACTAGTCATAACATTCAACAAACATAGTTTTCATAACTTTTTTTCTAGTTATAACGTGATCTGTCAAACTTAACTACATGTTATAACGCGTTAATTTAATGTTCCTACGATTAATCCATGTGATGGAGTACAACCAACAAATTAAACTGATCTCCAAAAATACCCCTTCCAATTAAACTACTAAATGAAACCTTTGAATATGTTAATAACCCTATTTTAATCAGTTCCTTAAATACTTGACAAGATGTTCATGAAAACTCATGGATTGGTAGTAATTGTTGTGGAGCACATGAATACTCAAGTGCAATTGTCTTTACTTGTGTAAACTGAATAGATTAATGCAGAATTATTGGTGGAATCTAATCGAAAACGAATATATTTCCTCACGTTCTTCACTATCGTTTAACCATGTTAAAGGGAATCTTTGCTTTTATTCTACTACTGTTTTTGAGAATGACACAGCTGAAAAAGATATTTATAGTCAACAAATACCTCTGACTTGTTTTGTAAAATTTACATTAATAACTGATTTTGTTAAAAACCTGTTCATTGAACTAAATAAATATATACAACCGACTGTAATATTTTTATCATAAAAATTCTCTTGATGGATATTAATTATAGCTTTATTTTAGTCACTTCATACTTAGTTTGACAAGAAGAGTTTTTAAGATGAATAGTTCGTCCTTCAGAATACCTGTCAAACAACAAATACTTCACGAAAAAAAATATTTGATAAGACGTGACATATCAGAGAGACTAAGTCAATATTAATTTAACCTAGACTTGTCAAAAAAATCCCTACTTATGTTAAGTGAAGTATTTATTGTGTAAACAACTGATGACTTATTATTTAGATACTTTCTAAAAAGAAATACGTACAAGTCTATTGTGTCTCATTTTATTCAAGAATTCGCTAATAAGAGCAGCAGAAAATAATAGTCTGCCAGTCCATACCGTGTTGTTTGTTTAGCACTACAATTTTAAACGTCAGTCTTCTTGAATTAACGACACATATGTATATGATTGTGATGAACCATGAACAGAGATGTAATTTAAATAAACACTTTTCTTCTTTTAACTTGTTCATCGGGTTGAACTTTGAGTAAGTTTTGGTTCAGTTCAGTTATCAAGCTTTCCATTAATCGTGTGAATACTTTCGTTTTTTCTTTCAAACTGATCTTAAAAACGTACGTTAGGAATTAAGTTACATTTACACAAGGCTATTTTCTATAGGACAAAGTTGTTAATCGCAAGTCCAGTTAAATTACTAATAATTTTAATGACTTTATATTTCGATAGTGAGAACCATTGGAATCATACATTGAATGAATAGCATCAAAAGTTTATTAACAAAATTCTTATTATCAATAACCAATAATGACTTGTGAAGAAACTTTTGAACAATTCACAGTAATCATCAATCAAACGGTGAATCAAATGAAACAAACTGATAAAGAAATTAAAGATAACCCTTAACTTTGATTTCGTGATGATTTATTTTCGTTTTCAATGATTTTCTGCGTTCATTCAGTCTCCAATTAATCCTGATATTATATTCTCAAAGGGTTACAGTAAAGAATACCTCTTTTTACAATTGTCAGATGTTTAAAAGTTAATCAATCAACAATTCTAAAGAATAAATGAAGGACCTTCTGTAAAAAAATAATCAGCTCCATCAGTAGCCTAAGTATCATTTATATGGAGTTATATTAAAATGACCAAAAATGGCATTCCTTATTCTGTTTTACTTCACATCAATCTATCCAATATGAAACGAGATCGACCAACTAATCGATAGTTATTTAAAAAATTATATTATCAGTTTTGTACTCCTGAAAACTGCTTCATTCCAGCTCCCTGAAATTTTGTTTGTTTCAGTGACATAAATAACAACAATCCAAACTGTTTGAAAGTTACAGCAGCCAGTATTCCGGGAATCCAAGAGTGGATATCTTCAGGACCGTTGGACAAAACTGAGTTAAACTGTCGAAGTAGTTGTAAGATAAATTTTTTTTCAGTAAACACCAGATCCACTAATAACCTGTCATCTTTGCAACTTATGGCGTTATGTTCCTTATTATCGGCGAAAAACATCTTATTGGTAAATTTTAAAAGCAATTAAGTTTAGTTGATTTTAATATTTATTTTAGCTGAGTCTTGAAGCAGAAGTTAAGAGGTTTCATCACTTCTTAACCTTCTTATTTTGATTTAAGGAAACAACGGATTGTTCTGAGAATGATAGACCATTTGATTTTCGTAAGATGGTCTCTTTCTAGACATCAACCAATATCTACTTCCAGTGATAAAAGAAAGAGAGTTAAAGCACAACACTAATATGAAATCGTAAATTTCAGTAGCGAATAATATTTACTGTGAGCGACATTACCGGCTCAGAAACTCCCCAGATGGATAGGTCATCATTAGTTCTTGACAATGTTTACCCAAATCAAGTAAGGCATTTTCCTTCGATTAATTTGCGAACTAGGTCTAAAATAATAACGTTAAAATCCCTTTTTCCCTGTACATATCAATATGATTGAATAATCAAGAATTTCTATCAGAATTCTGCCATTCCACACTCTCACGTGGCCCAAATTCATTTATACTACCAATAAAATATAAGAGGAATAAAGCTGATAAAAATATGCTGCTGCGTTAATCATGAATACCAGGCCTAGCGTAACAAATACTGTTAATTTCAACCTGGGGTCAAACTTTAGGTCACAGATAACATTTTGTACCAGACATTCATACCAATCAAACTAACACTCAAAAGATTAATTACACCGATATTCGCAATTATTTAGGTCATACCATGGTTAACTAATTTGTCATAAGTTCATTATTGCCTGTATTTCCATTCACACATACAGATTTTGTTTTAAAATCTTCAGGTTAACAAAAAATGTTGAGAAAAATTCTATTCAAAATCATATCATTGGCAGATAGTGAAATTCACATTTGTACAATAACACACCTTTTTTGCAGTATGGCAGACATATTTTGGACAATATTCGAAATGTTACGTATCTTTGACAATAAAAACAAGAAAAACTAGTCATATACAAAGGGAAATTGAATGGAGAAAGAACAGTTTTACAGGTGACAGATTAAATAAATTAACAACTTAGTCAAAAATTTACAATTTCAAGAAGGAACTTTTCAAATGTTTACATGTTATACAACATTAGTAACATGTGTTGGAAATTATTGTTTCAGAAGTGATACATGACGATTGCTTAAACCTTGACTAAAAACTAAAACAAAACACTATTGTGTTTATACTATTTAAAAGTAAACAACATCCTTCCAAAATTATTAAAATTCAAATATTCAGTAATGGGATTATTATTTTATTTACTGGTCATCATTCAGTTTACTAATGCATTACACAACGCTCTACATAAAGAACGATATAAATATAACAAGAATTTCGATCGTCTAACACAACCAGATCACAGAAAACCACTGAAAAACCAAAGTAATTTCTATCAAAAAGTCAGTTACGTTAATCATAATTCTGAAAGATTGAAAAGAAATTTCTTAGTTGGCATTAATTCACATAGTTCATCATGCCAATCTGGTTCACAATCATTTCAATGTTCTCCACCGTTTAAAGATATATCACGTGGAGTATCGGTTTATGCAACTTCAACATGTGGTGAGCATCGACCACAGAGTTTATGTCGATCTGACAAGAATTGTCAATTATGCAATGCTAATTCTACTGAATGGAAATTTTCTTCGGAATATTTAACTGATCGTCATAATATTGAAAATCAAACTTGTTGGGCATCAGGATTTATTCAACCCGGTGAAGCGGTTAATCTTACTATATCATTGGGAAAACGTTTTGAAGTATATTATATATCATTGCAACCATGTAGTATAGGTAGTTTACCACATTCAATAGCAATCTATAAATCATCTGATTTCGGTCGTACATGGCGTCCATGGCATTATTTCTCAACTGATTGTTATCGAGCTTTCGGACTACCTACCTCAAATGAACATAATAGTCATATAACATCTGCTAATTTACAAGAGGTATTATGTGTTGCATTACAACCACGTGAAAGTTATTATAGTCATCAAGGTAGAAGAGTTCGTTCAATGAACAGTTATATCTTTAATAAACCAAATAATACTAGGAATTTTGGAGGTATAGGAGTGCCTTCAGATTGGGTTATTGCATTTAGTACAACACTTGGTCGACCGGCAACACGTCCTTGGAGTCCAGCTCTAATTGATTGGATGACTATGACTGATGTACGTATAAGCTTAATGAATTTTCATCAGTCAAACGAACCGGAATATCGTATTAAGAGAAATACCTATCAAAGTCAACCACTACCTGATCATTCTAGACCAAAACAGCATTCAAATTACTTTTATGATAATTTTCATAAGCATCAATTAAAACGAATACGAAGTTCCAGAGCTGATCAGACTATTACGGATTTATCTCAAAATGAAATAAATCAAACTAATAAGATCAATAGCCGAACTGATATAAAACTCAATGCTAGAAAATCTTTAAATGTAACTGTCAACCCTGAGATTCTAACAGACATAGACTTTTATGCATTCGCTGATATAGCTATTGGTGGACGGTGTAAATGTAACGGGCATGCAAGTGAATGCATATTGGGTTCAAATGGTAAACTAGTATGTGCATGTGAACATCATACATCCGGTGAAGATTGTGAATATTGTAAACCTGGTTATATGGATAGACCATGGGATAGAGCTACACCTCAAGATGCGAATGTTTGTAAAAGTGAGTAAAGTGTTTCTGATGAATTATTTTTTAAAATATTATTCCATTTACGTTCAATAATTCAGAGTGATATCAAAACTTCTCATTGATGTACAGCGTATACAAATGGAATCTAATTCAATTCATTCCTATCGTATTTACTGAGGCTCCATATGATGAAGAATAGAATTTTATCATTGATGAATTGCTTTCAGTTGTTAACCTAAATGATAAACAATGTTTAACTTTAGGAAAATTTTTCCGTTTTGGCTATTATAAATATCATACCACGAAGCAACGGCTGTCCAGTGCTTTCCGGTTTCTGAAGATGGTCTAACATTAGTGGATTCATGATTTCAAAAGTAACTCATTAATCTCGATAACCCTATCATGTATTCTGTAAATATATGAGGTCAATTTTAGCTTTTGGCTTTCATGAGAAGTGGTAAAAAAAACGACTTAAATGACATAGTGAATAAAAAGTGATCTTCTTACAGGAGTAGTCATTTTTGAAATGATTTCCGAGTTTTGATACAATTTTAAACCTGTTCTTAATTTGTTTGGTACAAGTGTGCGCTCCTACTTTATACATCAAAGTATTCGATTTTACCCACAGCTCAAAGCATCAAGTTATCCTTCATGATGATAATAATATTGATTGCTAACATTTTCATGAAAAATACTTCCAATCTTACTGTTCTAAAGAGATATATCTTACTATGGTTCATTACTTAGTAGTAGTTTTTATTTTACCGATACATAAGGATTTGAAAGGATTTAATTTTATCGTTAGCGTCACGTTATTTTCATTTAGATTAATAACTAGTTGCTTTTTAAATGCATAATTCGTCTACAATCGTAGCTGACTTCGAATAAAAACTGGACGATTTTCAAAATGTATCCCTTAAGGTTTTCAAGGTACACATGCAGTTATCTAGTTTAGTGTTAGAAGTGCTCTAAAATTACAAAACCAAAACTGTTAATCCTAATTAAAAATATCATTTATCACAATTGAGTGGCTAAACTCAAAACAGTTATTCTGTATAGTTGGAATTCTATTTCTGAACAATTGTAATTAATACTGGTCATTAGATGAATATTTCTCCAACATTTAAGCACCGACATATGAACTAGTATTTGGACTGCATAATTATAGTTCGCAAGGTGTCTATTTAACTTTTGCATGCATAAATATATTTATCTGTACTAATAACTCAAAAGTTGCGGGTTAATTTGAATAGTGCTGATCAAAGAGAGATCAAATTTCATGAAATTTAGAAAAATCAATATCGTAGACACCTAGTTTCGAAATGTCTGTGATAACGAAATAATCACTACTAAATATCAACATGACCAGTGAAAAAAAAGTATAAAATGGGACGTTAAAGTCTAAATTACAATTCCAGTCAAGCATCAAATGAACGATTACAGCAACAATGACTATAACAAATCGATAAGTATTCTATTAGAGTAGCTTATTGGTTGTGGAAAAGAACTCCATTTAAGAAAATAGATCATAGGGAGTGGAGTTGTACATGTACATCACTAGATAGGTTTTTATCTTGGTGTGGAACTCCTTGATTGTGGGTCAAACTCAGCATCTACAGTCACGACCGAGACTAATGAGCCAGGATCCAATAATATACAAGTCTATTTTCCATTAACTCGCAATGTTACCTGAACATTTGCCATTGTTTTCAGTAGTAAATTCGCTCACACCCGATGCTGTCTGTTTGTATCGTCGTACAGTTAACGCTTTCAAATAACAATTTTACAATTTTCATGCTATCTTCATCTCTCATCTTATTCTTTACGTGTTGGCGCTCGTTATGACTATGTTGATTAGTCCAGATAGTTAGAAATGATCACAATTCAAGATTCAAAGTGATAATCTCTCACTTCCAAAATACGCCTATATCATTATGTAATTCAAAGAATGTAAAATTCATTTGTATACATAACATTCTTTTAAAATTGCACCGTTTCAGTTTGACATATCATTCGATAGGCACGTAAATATCAAGTAAAATTTATCGTTGATTTCAATAAAGCACCGCTTATCAATCATAAGATTATGACAAGTATTAAACATGGCTACCTGAAAATAAATATCTTTTTGTTTTAGAGAAATTATTTGACCACAATTTTATACCGATTCCGAGACAGCAATCAATCTGAACAGCATAATCTTACTTTCTAGAGGTGTTACTCTTCAACTGAGCTAATCTAACAGCTCCAAAAACCCCAATTTACCTTGTAGCATAATTAACTTTATTATTAAAATTAATGGGAGAACAATAAAATACATAGTTGACAAACAAACATGTATTGATATTGTCAGATTGTGGGAGATTGATTTTATGACAGACATTGTTTGAATTAATCCTATTTTTTTTTGAAATAAATTTTAGTCTGGTTTCATGTCAACTAATTTTAGCATGTACAGTTTTCTGCAGTATGAAAAAGAAGTCAACTTTCTTATACAATATAATTCATAGCCATAGTTAATATATTTTTCAAGCTTTTAAAATGATGAAATGTTTTAGTAATCGGAAATATGCATACTGTGTTTTTGCTTCAATGTTTGGTAGGTACGAATTGCGATATATTTAGTGTTAGTATAAGTAATCTTTTTTATAGATTTAGGTAAATGTTTGGACGCGTTGAAATTAAGTTCGAACGAATAAAAAAATGGTTATTTGATTTAAGATATGAATAAATACAACAACTAATGGACGCATGACATTCAAATCACCCTCCAAATGTCACTTCGAACTTTCAAGAAAATTACTTAATACCAATTTGATTTTTGATGGTTTTGACTAGCCTTGTTGTTCGGTTGATTTTACTTGATATCTATGCACACCCTGGTATAGCTGTAACCATACACTTTTACCAAGAACCAAATTGAGTTCCAGTCCTGTGGTGAACATTAACAACATGATCTAGATACATCTGGTTGACGAGTCCAAAACGGGACGAAACGCACTCTGTAGATTCCACTATTACTGACCACGTTTCATCCATTCTATATTTATTGCTTAGTTTGTGAAATTTATAATTTTCACCTTTTTTGTAAGCTTTCCTCAGAGAGTAGACGACAGAAACCTCGGCATTTATTGTATTATCAAAAATATTCTAAGAGCAGTGAATCCAACTTTCGTTTTATTGGTTTTTGTATAACTGATCATTGATTGACCGTTGGTTTTATTGATTCTACAATAGAAATGGCACTAAATTGTGCGTAATGTATTCAAACGATTTTGTTTAAGGTTAGGTGAAATAAAAAACTTCAGTTTATTTGTGTTTATTACACATAATTTCAAAAATAAATGTTTCTTAACTGTTAACTGCTTTTTTAATTACAGAAGTATTCATCAATTTTTATTAGTTCAGTCGTTTTGTATTCTTAACACTGACCAAGAGAATAGTATGGATTATTTATTAAAATGATTTCATTTGTAGTTTTGTTCGATTTATAGCGAAATCTCCTTTTTTAAAGTGGTTAAAATACTTTAATTTTTAATAAAATCTTAGCTTATTTGATAATATTTTTCGAATAGTATCTAATAGTTAGTTATAACAATATATCTGATGGAGAGTGTAACGGGATTGTAGCATATTGGCTTGAATTAACTACAGTCCACAATATGAAAATTAAACAGAAAACGATATTTTGATGTGCATGAACGTACGTATTTGAGCACACATACACCGGCACAAAGGGCCACCTGAATATTTATACGCCATATATACATTTGAACTTCTATGTGGGTTGGGATACTCCTAGGGTGCCTAAACCGCAGTAACTGGTTTTCTTACGAGACTACTCTCTTAACCTTTACCTAGATGTCTAATCTACGAGATAGTGGAGTAACGTTAGAAAATAGAGTCCGATTATAGCCAGTTAAGAACATGAAGAGTCTGAAATCCATATGCACTAGTGGTTTTGACTCAGAGTTTTCAAGCCCTCACTCATCAAGATCCTTCCTACTCAGCCATTTTAAGCGCCGGACACTCGCCTTTAGTCCTATCAACTTCGTAAACGATACCCACGCCCCGAGAAAACAGTGAATAGGAGTTCTCTGACAGTGGATATGTACGCATAGCCGTATGAGAAAAGAGGATGGCAGTGTTCTCTCAAATTCTAACCTTCTGAATTCCTTATCACCTCTATCTTTTTCTTTTAGATTTGTTTCATTAGATTCTTCTTATTGAATAATATCTTTGAACACTAATCTCTCCGATTACTGCTAATACTTCTACTACCTCCACTACTATGGGATTTGAATTGATAATTGGGTCTCCGTGCTAATGTGGTATGATAACTTGAACTGATGTACGTACGTACGAAGCTCTATGTTGTAATTGACTGACTGAATGACGATTTACATGTGTATCGTCTCAAGAATAATTAAATAAATTTTGAATATATAAACTTAAGTCAATAAATAAAATTTTAAATTGTATTTTGATTCAGGTTTGTGTATCTACGTTTCGTTGACACTGGGAATTACATCTAGGACATAACAATCTAATGTATGTCTATGAAATAAATTTCTTGTTATGTACATAAATTATTTAATTATCCTGCTTGGTATTTTCATAATTCAAAAATATTTGATTTGAAATATCAGAGAATAAAGATAGTTGATGATTTTTTCTGTAAATTCTAAGTTATATTTTATGGAATTTTGACTAGCTCATAAAAATTAAATTATTTCACTGTGTTAAAACTATAATCTCCATAAATCTAATAGAAATATCGTAAAATGTGCTCACTCATGAGGAAACTTTCGGATTTCTAGTGAGAAGACCTTACCAGTGGAGTTCAACCATGTCAGGTGTAGGCAATAACTGCCAGAGACAAAATCTCTAGATCGACCAGAGTTAGACATTAACACCGTTGTATGCCGGCTCATTAGTCCAGAGGTTAGGTGTTCGCGCGCAAGACTGAAGGTCTCGGGTTTGGATCCTTTGGGGGCGCAGGAGTCTTGGATGCGCACTGCTGATGAGTCCCA